TTTATTTATTTTTTGTCCGGTTCACTTCATAACTGCCTTGACAAGTCCCGTATTGATTGTGCTTGCAGATTAGAATTGATTTGGCTCTTCACTGTGTTTTCCTTTCTGTTTGGTTTCTTCCCGGGATGATGAGCACTTTTCAGCATCCATTCATCAGAGTGGCGTTCTGAATGTTGGGCCCGTCGGGAACCAAACACTTGTTCATTGTATGATGAAAAAAAAAGAACAAAGAGCTGAAGGACAAACCGGAGCGACTGCAGATTCAGAGGGATGCTCATGAGGTCTTATTGTGTTTTCTGGTTTCCACAGAGGCCAAGACGTCCCCGCTACCGTCCTCCAACGCGCCACAGAAGGCTGAAGCTCCAGTGGGCGGAGCTGCCGGGGTCCTCACGTTCTGCTCCCCTCTGCTGTTAGGAATGCTGCTGCCGTTCATGTGGTGAGCTCCCCTCGTCCTCACGTCCGCTATGAGCTCAGCCGTTGGCTCGTACGTCGGCCGCTCGGTGTGCGTCTGACAGCAGCAGGAGCCAATCGGCCGGTTTGTTTTTGACCTGAGGGCTCCTCATAGTTGTTCGTTCTGCAGAACCCTTGAGGGACCTGAAGTTCAGTTCAGACCAAAGCTGCTCCACGTCATTCATCTGCAGGTGTTCCTCTACCTGTCAGTCATGAATAACTACGTAATGCTGAAAACATGGATGTCATGGAACCACATTCAGGATTCATTTTGACAGACTACGTCCTGATACCAACAACACAGTCACATCTCCTTCTGAACTACCTTAATGTCAGTTCCTCGACAGACAGCCAGTCTCTGTAAGTCCAACCTGACTCACTGCTGTCGTTACTGGTACATGTACAGATTAATAGCTGACGTGAGAAAATGTGCCGTTCACTCTAAAATCAGCTCAGTGCATGCAGAGCTACACCAGGTAGGATCTCCTGCAGAACAGCAGCGTCTGTCTGAGGCCTCTGGTCACACTCTGGATGCCTCTGAGTTGCTGGGTCCACTAAAGGGACATTTCCCAGAGTCCTGTTGTGGCTAAACGCTCACAGCTGGTTGGTCATACAGCTCTCCTCCATCCCAGACTTCCTGTGCTTCACTTCAGCTGTCCAATGAAGGCAAAATACGCCACAAAAATCATCTTTAGAAAAGGAGACATGGTCCCTGTATGCTTTAACTGGGTTTGGTCTAAGTGTTGCTGGTGGATCAGGGTCAGAACCAGTCGGCTGAACCATAGACAGAGTTAATATTAGATCCACCTTCAGTGGTGAGAAGCTGCCTAAGCTTTAGCACCAGACCAACAATAGCATCTATCTGTCACAGAAGCCATGTTTTCTGCAGTTTCCCTTCTAACCCTGAAACACCAGGTGTCTCGTATCTGATCCATAAGTTTCTGAGACCTGAGACCTGAGACCTCCACATCATCACTGAGGTATTTACTGTTACCTGGAAAACCTGCTGGATGCATTCACTGATGCTCCACCGTGGATCAGGAAGTCATGAATGTAGCAACAAACATACACATCAAAACCATCCATCCATCATCTCTACACCTTCACCCTCACTAGGGTCATGGGGGGCGGAGCCTATCCCAGAGACGTTCCCACACTTGTGGGAGTCTTTCAGGATGACAGCGGTCCGTCCACTGGGCACCAGGGCTCACTGGATGGTTTGACTGGTATGACAACAGCACGGATTATATGTATTCTAGCAATATATGAAACCAACTGAAAATCTGTGAGAGATTTTGGATGGAGCGCTCTCCATCACCAGATATGTTTTGGGACGATGGTGCTTCAGCCCCAGCAGAGCTCCAGGTGGCTGGAGAACCAATACCAGGGAGAGTGGCCCAACACCACCTCACTGGGACACCTCATGTTGTTTTCCTTTAGTTCTTTACCATCTGTGGATGTATGGCTGAACGAGTCCTACAGCCTGAGAAGTCTAATTTCTCCTCCTGTCTCTCCCCAGATGTAGATGTCTTATTCCTGAAGGCTGACGAGGAGCAAGAAGAGGAGGAGGAGGAGGAGGAGGAGGAGGCTGGTATTTTTTCTATTTTGCACATGTTTCGAGGATACAGTGCATTGATCATTTCTGTCCATCACACAGTTACTCACCAAAATTACTTAGACGTGAAATCAGACGATGATAAATGCGACTCAGCATTTTTTTGATTAACGGTGACAGAGGAAATTCTTCAGAGGAACTTTTGAAAACGGCATCACCATCATCACCTTCACCGTCCACAACAACAGCAGCAACAGGAGCCGCAACAACAACAACAACAACAACAACAGCAGCGGTGACATCACCATCAACAGTCTTCTATCGCCCCCTGGTGGCCTCGGCGAGCCACAGCAGACTGATTTGGTTCAGTTTGGTTTCGGGAAGCTCCTCTTCCGAGCAAGAAGATCGAGTCCTCAGAGTGACAAACGACATCTCTTCGTTACCTTGTTTTTGTTATTTTATTCATTAATTGATAGTCTTACTTTTCACTCTCTTCTATAATCGCAGCGCTGTACACACACACACACACACACACACACACACACACACACACACACACACACGTAGGGCAGGTGTGTGTGTGTGTGTGTGTGTGTCACAGTAGCGGCCCTTATACAGCTTAATCATCATGCCAAAGACTCAACTTTACACCCCAAAACTAAGTGGTTTCCCAAACAATTCATGAAGCTTTTCTCTTGAAAGCCTGTGCCTGTCTTCATCGTGGGGTGGGAGAGAAATCCCAGAAGAAAAAGTTGAATGTGCGTTTGTGACACAACAACTGATGGAAGTGGAAAGTTGGAGATCTTAAGGAACCCTGCAGCTGCTGTTTGTGCAAACCCACCAGTTAGCAAAGAGCCACAACAAAACAATCAGACTCTGACTCCGCCTCCAGCCGCCCAACGCAACGGATGGAGCCTGTTTTTGTTTGTTTGTTTCGAGGACTAACACTCTGGAGACTTCAGTACCGTAGTCGGGCCTATTTAGACAGGTAGCTTTACATTGTGCTTTCAGCGACGGGGAAGGAGGACCTGGATTGTAAAAAAACACAAATAAATAAATACAAATAAAAATCAAACAAAGTGGATTTGAGACTGAACAGTTCTTTGCCCACCGTTTGTTTCCTGGTTTGACTTGTGTCGACAGCCACAGGTGGTTCCTGAAACGTTGGGTTTAGTTCTTTCCTTTTGTTTAGTTTGTGTCCATCTGCTCTGTGCTGTAAAAGACACCAGACCAGTTTGCTTTCTCCAAATTCTGACGCCTTTACAAACATTTAAAATGTCTCTTTTTTTGCAGTTTACATTTCAGTAGCCAGTATCACCAGTTAATATTATGTTACTCAAAGGAATATCGATGTGTTTATTGTACTTTTGATTTTTGATTTTATGGACAGATAATAAAAAGACGCATTTAGGGTTTTAGGTTATTTTTGTTCCTTTTTTTTGTTTCTTTTCAGACATTCATAATGGCTTAATTCTCCTTGATCCTATTTTGTAAACTATGATATGTAACTTTAACATTGAACAAAAGTTTATTATTTAATAATAATAATAATGTATGTATTAGCAGTAGAATGTCGTAACCTGTACCTGGGGTCTTTTTTATAGATGTATATACAATGACAGGTTTCAACCATTAAATGTGACCATTTCACAATGAATTGTGACGCGCTGGCCTCGTGCTCATTTTGCATTTGGGACGGATGTATTGAGAACACATCAGCCTGCTGCTGGTTCCTGCGTCGGCCCGGTGGTTCGGATCATCTGTACCGAGGTGTCGGCAGCAGGCGTCATGGCAGCGACACATCACTTCCCACGTTCAGCCACAAACTCACACTGCTTCAAGCTTCACACATCAATACTTGTGACCTTGCAGACGAAGTTCTCTGTTTTATTCTCTGGGTTTGGCTCAGAAAGGCGAGTGTGATTACAAATTCAGATGAGCTCCGCTGAGATCGCACCGACTGATCAATGAAGGTTGATTCTGTCTTTTTTTTACACTAAAGTGCTGCTTGGGCCTGATGCATTATTCTTTCTTCACTTTCTGTAGTTTTTTGTGTGTGTTTTGTTTCTTGATATTTTAAATCCAGAAAACGTCGGCGTCGGGATTCTTGTCTGTTCCGACAACTGAGTGACAGCTGATGTGAGAAATGCATTTTTAAAATGAGGACATAAATAAATGAGTTAAAAAGTGTCATGGAGAGCAGTCTGCAGGCTGCTGGTGGCTCTGTGTGACCTGAACGCTACCAGCAGCAGCTAACACAGTCACAGTGATGGGTCAGGGTCAGGGTCAGGGTCAGGGTCAGGATCAGGGTCAGGGTCGATGAGCAGATGTTCATCACTTTAATAAGATCATCTCATTGGTGTAAAACTCAACAAACCACTAAGAGTGAAGCTTGCAGGCAGGAGAACTTTAATCTCCCACAAAGAACAATCTTGTATTTCCTCCTCCGCTGCCTTCATCGACAGCTTCAGTGACTTTTACACGCTGGTATTAACCGTACAGCCCAGAGTTAAAGATGAAGCAGGAGGTGTGCAGCCGTTCTGGCGTCCAGTGCAGTCCAGGTCACATTCCAGGTTCCTGAGCTGTCACTGAGTGGTGATGTTTCCCTCTAAACTACTCACATTTTCATTTTAGGAAATATTCAAATAATTCAGTATTTTATTCAAAAAAATAAAAACTGAGAGAAAAACCTGTGAACCTGAAGACGCATTTGTTCATCTACCTTCATGCATGTCAGGTCCGTCTGCTGTCTGTCTTCTGGATCTAAAACTGTGTTTAAAGTTGAGCTCCAGCTGCAGCAGGGACGTGCTGCTGGTGCATCAAATACAATAAGATGTCACCCAGAAGGACCTGAACAGACTGTTACTGAAGTATTTGAACTATGGGTTGCAGGTAATACTCACATCCTACTGCAGGACTTGTAGTTTATTTTTACAGCGGTGTACTAAGTCGAGCATCTGTTTACTTCTTGCATCACTTTTGGTCCAAAATCAGTAAATCAGTAAATTAGTAAATCTGTAAATCAGTAAATCAGTAAATCAGTATTGCACAAAGGTGACGTTTTGATTTGTCGATGGTGCGACATCATAATTAATCTTGTGAATCCTGAATGTCTTTATTCTGCATTCAGTGATTTCAAAGACAGTCCAACATCTCCTCCTGCTGATGGTGCTGGAGGCAAAGTGACAGATCAGAAGTCAGTAAGACTCATTTTCTAGGCATTATGTTTTTATGAAACCCATCCACTGGTGTCTGGCCAGTCTCAGACCAACATGGTGGATGGACAGACGGCCACGTGATCAACACAGGCACCTCTGATCCAGGCTACCGGCTCAGTGTGTGATCACGTGGCGGTCTGTGGCAGTTCACAGCAGAGTTCTGAGCACTTGAAGGAGAGCCTGACAGAAAGTGAAGCTCCATTACATCCTTGTTTTGATGCTGAGTCAGATCCTTCATCCTGCTGCTCTTACTGACAGGAACCAGTTCTGCAGCTTCCAGCCACTTCCTCCTGCTTGACCTGGGACACAGAACGCTATGGAGAGATGTGTTCCTTCACCTGTACAGGACCATCTTACGTACAGGTAGAGCTGAAGTATGACAGCACGTCCCCTAAACTTGCAGGTCACATGTCCACATGCATGTATGTGTCACTGCAGGCAGGATCGTCCCCAAATAACTCACCTTCAGTACAACTCGCGTCGTGTTTTTGCAGCTTCGGCTCCATTTTCATCACTTGTGCACAGGAGTAAAAGCTGAGACCTGTGAAGTGTGTGACGGGGCTACAACAGGGTGTGAAAAACTTTCCCAGACTATCAACACTCACTCAGATACTACATTTAGCAGCAATAAGAGGTGGAGAGTATCGAACATACAGTTGGTCCAAATTTCCCTTTTGACCTTTAGTTCTCACTGCCTCTGTCTCTCTTGAAGCTGCCTCACTGTCTCTCTTCCCTCTCCAGCTCTCTTTCTTTCATTATTCTGACAAGTTCTGGCAGGCCGATTTGGAGAGCGAGGACAAATCAATACACCATCTAACAGCTGTCAGCTGGAGTCCTCTGCCTGTGTGTGTGCTGTGTGTGGATCTGCTTGCGTGGTATTGCATTCATTACTCCTTCCTTCCTTCCCTTTGCTGATACTGGCCCACGCTTTCCTTCTTACCTTCTTTCTTTCTTTAATAAGGGTGTCAATGAGAACTCAATTAATATTTACAGTGACGGCGCCAGCAGCGACCCAGAGGGTGCAGAGGACATCCTGTGTTTTATTATCCTTGCTGTTGGCTCTGTTGTAAACGTGACGTCTTTTTTTGTTGCTCTTGTGGCTGATAAACAGTCCTATAGAACTTATATTTAAACCTTTAAAGCTGTAATTGAATTACAGTTGAATGTGTTCAGGAGTGCAGCCGTGATGTGATCCACATTAACCTGCAGTACATGAGAAGCAGAGTGTGTTTGGCATCCAGACCTGTCAGGTCCGGCCGCCCTGCTCGGCTCTAATGACCGGTTTGACCTTTCACTGAAAACTGGATGAATGACACAATCCCTGCTTCCCTCTCACTTCTGGCTCACACCTCTTTAAACACTCAGCCTCTCCATCTTCCCTCTCCGGCTCCCCTGACTTACTGTGTCTCTGTCTTCCTGAACTTCTTCTTTGTGCTCATATCTTCCTATCATTCTCCCTCCTGAGCGCCACTTTATTTTTCACACCATTTTGGAGCAACAGTAAATACATCTCCACACGTGGCTCGCTCGTCCTCCTGCCTTTGGCAGCAATGTGTTGTTTGCTTTGCTCAGAGTCTGTCTTCAAACAATGCTTGTTTTGGTGGCTCTCTGACATGTAATCAGCTGCCGCTTTATCAGCACACGTGTCAGTTGTTTATTTAGCTGCTTCTTCATATAAAGGTTCTGAGCGGTACTTTATATTCAGACGTGTTAGACTACTAGCAGCACATGTTAATATAATGCCTTCCACTACACCAGAGTCGTACGTGATGCTGACCCAGACTGAGGCAGTCCAGCTCTGCCACACAGTCTGCACTCATACAGCCTGTAAAGCCCGGTTCCTGTTGGCTTTTATGAGCAGCAGAGCTGGACAGCCTCAGGTTGTGGAAGCATCACGTACGAGTCTAGCAATACAGTGCTTCCTTCTACAACTTTAAAGGGGGAGCCAGATTCACAGCTGTATTCCTCCTGTAATCTGTCTGTGATGTATTAGTTGTGTGTAAATGAGCAGCGTGCTCCTGTGTCCGGCCACCGGGGGGCAGCAGCGTCACTTTGGCTCCCTGTGCGCTGTCTGTGGTGCTGAAACAGTCACTGTGCACTCTGAGTCTCTGGGCCTCTGTCCATGGTGCTGAATAGTTCAAACCCATCCAGTATCCCAAACCTCTGGTTCCGTATCTCGACTTGTTCTCTTCCTCATGTGACCCCAGAGTCCACCGTTAATGATGAAAGCTCCACATTCTGTCTTCTGAAATACGTCACGTGTTCCTGTTGTCTGCCCGACACTCAGATTACCGATAAGTGTCACGTGTTCATCGACTGCCAACTCAGGGGCGCTTGTTTCACATCACAGAAATGCAACTTCAAAGCACGTTAATGGGAGAACGAAGGAACGCCGGCAGAGCTTTGGTATTGAGCTCTGAATTTGTGCCTTGAATCCTGATGATGTCTTCTACTCAAACTAACCAGTTACAGAACTGTTCCACAACGTGCCCGTCAGCCTTCTGCATCCAGCTCACACATGCTGATGACAGCACTCGTTGGCCTGATGACTGCAGCTCTGGGACTGAGTCAGTGCCACACAATGAGAGGTCATGTTGCCGTTCATCACAGGTACTGCTGGAACGTTGCCGTCCAATATTTCTGCCAAGCAGTGAACTGGAGCCTCGTTTTTTTTCCAAATTGCAGCGATTCTTGTGACTGCATGCATCATCAAGAAGTGCTGCTTTATTTTCCTTACAGAATTTAGATCATGCGATGAGTTCAGGGCACATATGCAAAGTACACAAGCTAGGATGAGTCACATGTTGTCTGAGCCAGTCTCGTTCTGTCTTTTGTGTTCCCTTCCTTAAACAGACCCAGACAGCTCATTGTAAAGCCCAAACAACACGATCCAGAACATTTCACGGCAGGGTCGTGTTTTCCACCCGGAGGTTTCTCTGAAAAGCAGACGCGTCTTTGAAATGACAAGGCAACCCCACGCTGCAGCTCCGTTCAAACCACGGCCGCGGAAAAAACTGGAATAAATCAGCACACATCAGTGGAACAAAGAGCGACAAGCTGCACAAACCCCTAAACAGACAGTGGCGGAGGGCAGACAGCAGAACGGGAGGAGAGAAAGAAGGAAACACAAACTGCAGATTGAATCTGAAATTCTAGATGACTACCGACCGAGTTACAATAAAGAGAGAAGTGGGCACATTAAAGAGCTCCATTAAAGGGATTAGACTCGTCATTACAGATATAATCACAGATCTTTAATAGAGACATTATTAAAATTGGATTTTTTTATGAGTGGTGAAATTTAAATTCATTGCGTGGTAACTTCCAGCATTTGAGCTGACACCTTTATTTAAAAAGAAAAGCCTCCACTCAGCAGGTTTGCCTGATGTGAAATACAGGACCCAGTTTGATCTGCCAGTCAGGGTTCAGCGCTGGGATTATCCTGCCTGTCAGAGTCACCCCAGAAACAGTGTTTTAATTAAACCACTGGCCAGATTTATTTCAGAGGAATCATAACAGTGTTTTATTCGTGGAAAGCAGCGCGCATAAAGACTAATTCAGATTTTTGTAACTGATAAGTGATAAAAGTTGGACAAACCATCAGAGATTAGTTTTTTAATGATCTATAAACTCACAATGTGCTGTCAGGCATCCAGTGGCTCTGTTCAGGTGCTGTTCTGTGGTCTCTTTCTCCCTCTGCTGGTGGCTGCACACATCAGTTCTGTGTATCAGGTATTCAAAAAGCAGCATAAACTGTTTTCTTTACTGCACTTGTGTTGCTCTTCCTCCACTGTGGTGCTGCAGACATCCCATCTGTGGTCAGAGCATTTTGTTCAATCACTTACAGTAAACCTGAGTTCATGCAGGCAAAGAAAATCAGGACTTTTTCCAACACGTAATATTCCTAACATTGAGATTTACTGTGTTTAATTTAGTTTTACAGGTTGATTAAAGTTGAAAAAGCCCACAATGGTACATTTTAATAATGGACAGTGTCCCCGAAGACAGAAGCGCTCATAACCAAACGTCTGCGTGTTCTGTGTTTAAATCCCATTTAATGAAGAGGAAATCTAAAAACAGGCGCACAGTACAACATAACGTCTGCTGTTGAAGTGTTTGGTTCTCTGTACGTTTCCATTTACACACACTGCAGTGAATAAATCCACGGTAGCTAAATGTTTCATCACACTGATTTGGGAATTGAGCTATTTGTAGTTAATATGCACCATGCACCGGCACTGTGGTTTTCTCTTTGATGCTTCATGCTCTTGGCTTCATGAGGAGACCATCTATGGTGCGTCTGAGACACAGACCACGTCCAGGGAGATGTGGGACAGGATATCATCCTCTCCGTCCAGCAGCCACACACTGGGACTCAGTGTGATGTACTCAGTGTTGTGTTGCCTGGTGCCCTTTTCTATAAAGCCGTCCAGAACCACAGGCACCAGAAGGAGCCCCGGCAGAGAGGAGAGAAGCTGGTCTGAACCAAGACAGAAAAGAAAGAAAAGGGAGCGCTGGTGGTGGAGAGTGTAGCCTGGGACTGGTAGTGGAAGCATTCATCTGTTTCATCAGAAGCTAAACAGGGAAGGAGCCGTCTTTAAGGAACCACCTGGTCGGAGACAGTCGCTGTTTCCAGCCAGGAAGTGGGCAGTCTGTCTGGAGCCGGCAGCTTCTGACAAGAAAAGGAAAAACACAGCGACATGTACTGTCACACCCTGGAGAGGCTTCTCCTCACATCTCTCCACACGTCTCGGTGGGTACAAGATGTTTTTATTGACTCTTGATCTTTCCAGCTCTGTGGGTCTGGAGGCGGTCCAGTCCAGGTCCCAGTCCTTCAAACACAAACTAAACCACTGTACTGACCTGCCTTCAGGGTTACATCAGCTCTTACACTCCAAATGAAAGCAGTTTTTTCTTGATAGCTGTGACCACCGTTTCCTCGCTCTTCCTCTGGAGCCACTGATGGCTATGCTAACGGCTAGTCCACCACATTCCTCTTCTGTCTTCCTGTCCTCTCACACTTTTCTCTCTTTTTCATAGTTTGGATCATCTAAACAACAAACTAAACTAAACAGTGCAACCACTTACTTTTCACCTCGTGTATATACATATATATATATATTATTATTATTTTCTTTATTTTATTTTTTTAAAAACTATTTGACAATTTGATTTATTTATTTTGTTTATTTCTATCTATCTATACATTCCTATACGTGTTTATTTCTTGTGTGTTTTATTGTGTGGAACACGTGCACAAAGCTGCTCGCTGCACATTATTCTGCCTATGATTGTGTTTGTGGCCAATAAAGGCTGTGAATCCTTGAATCTTAAATCTGTTGACTTTACATATACAGCTTATACACAAAACATGGGTGACTCAATGAAGGATTTTTGGCCATCTAGTGGGAATTTTAAACGTTTAATAGTTCCATAAAACACATGTTTTAACATTATTGTATGCATTGAGTTGTGATATGATTTTTTAAACGTGTCTTTTAGAAGATGATGCAATTATTTCACAGGATTCTAACAGAACTGTCAGAGTTGGGGGTCTGATGTGTGGACTCTAACAGCAGGTGGTTTAATGATTTGACGTCTTTGTTTTCTTTCCTTCTTCATTAACACTTGCTGTTCCACCTGCGACCTGCAGGTGGCAGCAGAGCGCCACTGAGCATGCGCGCTGCCACAAACCACCACGGAAGAAGAGCGGACAACCCGGCGGTAGGATAACCGATGCAGGGCAATGGGGTGAGTATTGTGATGTTTAAACCGCTGTCGCTCAGAAACAGCCACAGACGGTGTCATGTGTAAATATCTTCTTTATTTATTCTGTTGAAATCCGGACGGCGGCGTGTCACGTGGTGCAGCCGCCGGAGCTCACCGGAGCTCATCGTGACAGCAGCTGTCCGCCTACACAAAGCTGTTAGCCGCTTAGCTCCGCGCTAGCACACGGTGATGCTACCAGCTGTATAAAGCTAATTAACGCGTCTGTCTTTATAAGGCTTTAGCCTGAACGATGCTCAGCTCGCTAATAAACCCACCGGAACCACAGTGGGCCCGCTAGCAGAGCGGAACCTGCAGCACAGAAATAACCAGCTGATTAAATTTTCATCCACAAGAGCAGAACGTTTGAAGATCTATTTTTTCCTTGAAGACAGACAGACTGGTGTTGCATGAGCTGCTGGTAGCGGTGCCGTGATCCAGAGCCATCAGCCTGCCCCACATTCACCCAGTTACAGCAGAACCAGACCTATTTTTATTCTCCCTCTGGGTTCAGAACCCCGGTCTGTCAGTGAAGCTAAACGCAGGTGTGTGTGTGTTATTGGAAGGAGCTGTGTGACATCTACAGCCTGAGTCCTCTGTTCTCCGGTAGACACCGGATCTGGAGGAGGATCCAACCCGAGCTCAGTCCGGGATGAAGAGCTCATGCAAACACAGTCAGAGTTCTGCTGCTTTCAATAGAAATCTGTTTATTGGCTGGCTGAGCAGTCACTTCAATAAGAGCTTGTTTGAAGGAGCGTCTTCAGTGGGAGCCGGCAGCATGTCTTCATCCCAGCCGTGTTGTCTCATCAACACGGAACAGAGCTGGTTTCCTTCACACACCTGGTCAGACCATGGTCACATTCAACTCTCTTCTTGGGCAGCGTGGAGCGAACGTCTGTCTGCTGTGTTCATCACACGTAAACCAAACACAGTTTATTTGTGTATTCAGCAGCAGCAGATAGTTGTTCATCTGCTGGGCTCTGTGAAGCACATGTCCAGGGTCTAGTTCTCTGTCTTCAGCTCACCTGAACAGCACAGCGTGTCTCAGTCCTGTGGGTTCATCACAGTGTGGAAGCTGCAGCTGTTTGCACTTAGAGAAGCATAAAAGGCTGTTAGATGGATGATACAGCCGTCAGCCTGATGCTCCAGCACATGTTCTCTTTATCTGGACTGTGTGTGTGTGTGTGTGTGTGTGTGTGTGCATTTTGTCCATCCACCTCTCCTCTCCTTCCCTCCCTCTCCAGTCTCCCTGACTCCTGCTGACCTCTCGAGCTGATTGGCCCGTCCAGCCATCTGTCAACATGCAAGGCTTCTACTCCAAGCTCGACTCCTCCCCCTCCTCGTCCCCGCTGCTGGGGGTGGGTCTGGGTGGAGACGGCGCCCCGGTGCCCCTCAGCCTGGCCGTGGAGACGGAGAAAGCTCAGGCCCTCCTGCAGACGTTCAGCTCTGCCTCCCTGCTGGCCTCGGCCGGACTCGGGATGTTCTGTGTGGCGGCGGACCACGCCCTCCAGCTGTCCGTCATCCAGCACCACCTGTGGCTGCGCGCCGCCTTGGACAACGCCACGCACGGATTGGTGGGGCTGTGGTCGTGGGCGGTTGTTATTGGACTGAGGAAAAAGAGTGACTTGTACGAGGTGCTGCTGGCGGGGCTTCTGGCGTCCATCATAGACCTGGACCACTTCTACATGGCCGGATCCCTGTCACTGAAGGTACGGCCCATATCGAGGGTTCTTCTGGTCATTAGGGTCCGAGGACCCCTATTGGTCCTGTGGTCTTTCTTTCTGTCTTTATTCTTATTTGCTTGATGCACGTAAAACCCTTAATTGGACCCCTAAACACGCTCAAAAACTCACCAAAATTGGCACACACCTCTGAAAAATTTAATAAAATGAAAAAAACAAACAAGAAAAGCTCTCTAGCGCCACCTAGTTACAGAAAAACACACTAAAACGGCTCTAGTGGCCAGTAGGAATGTCGTACAGAGATCAAACCAACACCAAAACGTTCGTCTCAATGAGACCCACAAATTTCGCACTGACACCCCTGACCTATCTC